GTGCAAGCAAAGTGGAGTTGCAGTTACACAGATAGAACATGAATTTATGAATTATATGTTGTTGAGTTGATTGATACACAATAATAGACATGTCAATCGCTGTTGGTTGGACAAGCTGTCACAGTGCGAAGACGTACAATGTACAATCAGCATGACTGAAGCAGCATTTATGAACTACATTTTGCTGGAATTGGTTTAAAATTGTGAATAATGGGGAAAGTGATTGCCTACCAGTCGCATGATGCAAACACAATGAACACCTTGCAGATAGAATATTGCTTTAGGCAACTCATTGCGTTCCCATCTCGTATTACAGAATATGCTCAAATCTTATCAACCAGTTAGTTTGTCATGTTGACAATATGTGTTGGATTGGTTTTAAGTGACTGTGTATATAGAAACTATATATTTTTTGAAAGCCAGCATTGCTGGCTTGAATAGTTTTTTTTGCTATGTTTAAATTAACAACCCAAATACAAATATATATATATATATTTTTTTAAGCCAGCATTGCTGGCGTTCATGTGTTTGTTTGCTATGTTTAAACTAACAACCCAAATATTCTATGAGCAAAAAGTAAAAAGACCGGATAACCCCACCTGTTCAGCTTGTAAGAACCACTGCGTACTGCATCTATCAAAGCTTGAGGACTAGCAGACTTCTTAGTAAGACAGTCAGCAAGACACCACTGAGTGCGTATATGTGACAAGTCAGCAATTGCACCAGAGCATGCTTCCTTCCTAAGCATTTGGATCATATGAATAGTCTCCTGTTGCTCAGGAACATGAGTAGTACTAGCTGTAGTCACAAGATTGTTAGCATCAGTGCGCATGTGAATGTCAGTAGAGTCACCTGTAATGTCCTTGAACTATCAACGAGAAGTAGAGACTGATAAGAAAAGAGGGCGGAAAGATACTGGACGATAAAAGTGAATGAGACGAGTGGTGTGTGATGAGTGGTGTAAGATGAGTGGTGTAAGTAGAGTAGTGTGTGCTGAGTGGTGTGTGCTGAGTGGAGTAAGATGAGTGGTGTGTGATGAGTGGTGTAAGATGACTGGTGTGTGATGAGTGGTGTGTGATGAGTGGTGTGTGATGAGTGGGGTGAGATGAGTGGTGTGTGAAGAGTGGGGTGTGATGAGTGGTGTGTGATGAGTGGTGTAAGATGAGTGGTGTGTGATGAGTGGTGTGTGACGAGTGGTGTGTGATGAGTGGTGTGTGATGAGTGGTGTA